AGACCCCTCTCCGACCAGCCATAACTGGGGGAGCTGTGGTCATTACCCCCCTGAGGGAACCCATCGCCTCGATGATCTCTCAAGAGGGGTGTCGAAATCGATGGGTCCCCCAGGGGGTAAGGACCACAGCTCCCCCAGTTGTGGCTGGCCTGCCTCTGGAGCCACACGAGGCGCATCCCCCCTGGGCCAGTCTTCGGGGCCCCAGACCCGTGCGAGGACGGACCGCGGGGTGACGTCGCAACCCCCAACAAGACGTCCTCGGAGAACGGGCCCCGCGGCCCCGGTCTGGGGCCCCCCTGAGGAGGAGGAGGAGAAGGAGGAGGAGGTGGAGGAGGAGGAGGAGGAGGAGAGAGAGGAGAGAGGGGAGCAGGAGGAGGAGGAGAGGATGAGGAGGAGGAGGAGAGGAGGAGAGGAGGAGGAGGAGGAGGAGGAGGAGGAGGAGGAGGAGGAGGAGGAGGAGGAGGAGGAGGAGGAGGAGGAGGAGAGGAGGAGGAGGAGGAAGAGGAGGAGGAGGAGGAGGAGGAGGAAGAGGAGGAGGAGGCCCGCCCCCCACGACGCGCCGATGGGGCCACTCCCCTCCCCCGCTCGGCGCGTCGCGGCGGCGGCCCCGGCGGCTCAGGCCCTGCGAGCTGACGCACCGCCTCGCCCCGCTCCGTGGGGCAGGGAGGCCGGGAGAAGCTCGGGACGCGGACGCTCGGAGACGGGAGCGTGGCCGGCCCGCCTTGGGGGCCACCCCCACGGGTCCCCTCCCCCGGCGCTGCCCCCTGACCCCCCCCCCCCGCCCCCCGCGGCGCCTGTGGGCGTGCTGGGGGCCGTGGGCGCCGCCGTACGGCTGGGAGGCCGCGGAGGGCTCGTACGCGCCGTGCTCCGGCGGGCGGTGCCCCAGCATTCCTCGGAGGCCGCACGGGGTTGCGGGGAGTTTTCGAAGAGGGCTTGGGGGCATCAGGAACGGCCTCCTCATCATTCATCATCCTGCACAGTACTGGGTGCTGGTGGCTACGGGGTCAACCCGACGCGACCATCCCACCCCCGCCCAGGGTCGGTCGTCGACCCTGGGGGGCAGGTCAATTGAGTTGTCTGCAAGGGAAACATGAGCGCGACAAGCAAGGCCCCCCCAAGGCGGGGCACTCTGCCCAACTGCACCCTGGGGAAAGGAGGGGAGGGAGGCATACGAGAAGAACCTCGGACGGGGAAACTGAGCAGGGGTAAATAGAGGCGAACTGCGGCAGCAGCGGTGGGAGGACAGCGCGAGTGCGCGCAGCAACGCGGCGGCGCGGGCGGCGGCGCGGGCGCGCAGCCGAGGCCACGCTCGCCAAACAGCGAAGGCGCGCCAGTCTCTCCTCCGGCCCATAGGAGCCCTCCCAGCCAGCCCGCAGCTCCACGACGGGGGCCCCGCGCCCGCGGAGGCAGGCGCGGGGCCCCCGAGCGCGGAGGCGGCAGCTGCCTCGGGGAGCTCTCCCGGGCACGGAGCAGGGCTGCGCCCCACGGCAGCGGCCTCGCGGCAGCGCTGGCGCGGCCGCACTCGCAGGAAGGGCTGGCGCAAGGGCCTCCCCCCAGCTGTTAGGACACCCCACCACCCCGACCCCCAGCCCCACCCAGGGGACCCTCGCCCACCGAGGCGGCCGAAGGGTCCCGGGGAAGGACTGCGGGATCGGGCGGCGGTGTCATCAGGCGCGGGAAGGTCTATGCCACCCTGGCGGCGGCCGCGTTTGCTGCTGGCGCGCCCCCCCCCGCCCCGGTGCACCCTTCCCTCTTGTCATGGTTGGAGCGCGCGGCAAGCGACAGTAGAGTGGGGCGGCTGGCGAACGGCGGGGCGAGGCGACCGCGCGGCTGCATGCGCGAGAAGGGGGCAAGAGCCAGGTTGAGACTAGCGGCGATGCGGCTGCTGCGCGTGCGCGCGGACAGTGGGCGAAAAGGTCAAACGGCGGCACGCACGGCTCGGTTGCTTGCGGCGCCGTTGACCGCGGCAGCGCTGGCCAACGCCAGGACGGCCAGCACCGATTGCTCCCCCCCGTGCCCCCTCCAATACCATGCGGGCCCTATCGGTGGCTGGCGGCCGACAAACAAATGGCGCTGGCCGGGCGGTCGCCGACGGTGGACAGCAAGAGCCGTAGACAGACGCGCGCGGCAGGGATTGAGGCCGAGACTGACGTTCGTCAGAGAATGCGGCGGGAAATACAAAAGGCGGGCTTACACATTGTGGCGCATGCGGAACAGGCAACAAGCGAGAAGAGCCTGGACGGCCGGTGGCCACGCTGGCCGCGGCCGCCCCGACCTTCGCCAGGGCAGCCGCGGCGGTCGCCCCCCCCCCCCCCCGCCCCCCCCAATAAGCCCCCCCCCCGCCCCGCCGCCACGCGAGCAGGGCAGAAATAAAAGCCCGGTGGGCGAACGGCGGGGGCACGGGGCATATAAGTGGAGGCGGGGCCGAAGGGAGTGGAGATTGGGCAAGAGCTCTCTCAAGACCGGGTCGACAGTCGGCTTTTCGCGTCGTCGCCTCAGAGGCCCCAGCTCTGAGCCGGCGATTAAGGCATCCACCAATGAGGCACATGGGCAACCTCTATCCACTGGCCATGGGAAGCCGAACGCAAGTGGCACTTTCACAATGAGTCGGAAGATCAGCATGCGCGGGCGAGAAAGCCACGGCGGGACTCGGAGCCCTATCTGACCGTGAACCCACTGCATAGCATAGCCCGTTGTAGCTGTAGCCGCCGCAGGTGCAGGTGGCACGTCGGATAAGCTGCGGGCGGGGAAACCACGGCGGGCTGCGACGCCCTATGTAACTGTGAACCTACGATATTCGCGCCGCGTGAGGTTGCCGCTGTCGCCGTTCGCCGGCGGCAGCGGCAGGTGGCAGCGCACCGCGCGCCGCAAGAGGAGGGGGCCCAGCTGCCGCTGCTGTCGCAACAGTGAGCACAGCGACCCAGGTAGAGGATGGCGCAGACGTCGGGAGTTGGCAATAGGACAGCTGGCGGCGCGCGGCGCAGTCGGAACAAAACGGTAAGAATCCGCGGTCGCTGATGGCAAAAACGGCCCCCAGGGTAAGGAGCGACGCACTGACGCGCATATGCACGGCAGGTCCCGTCTCGGCATGAGGGCGGCATTCGCCTCTTAGCCGCTGGCTGCGCGTAGTCCATGTTGTCGCAGCCAGGGCAGCACACGTCCTCTGTCTGATCCTGGAGGGCAGTAGTGTCAGAGCGCAGCACCGGGCATCTCGCGTCGAATAGGGAGACCTCGCTGCTGGGCGCACGTTTGTCAGGTCTCGTGATTTTGATCGCGGGCGGACGCGGCAATGGCTTGCCCTCCAGCGGGGGCGTCGGGAAGGCAGGAGCTGCTGCAGATGCCCGTTGAAAGCCCGCGCGAAGGTCGGCAGTCGGCATCGCGTCGTGACGTCTGTGGGCGGTTGACACGATACTGGGCCCCGGATGGCGACGGTGGCTTCGGCTTCCTTGGCCCTGTGCCAGTGGGTCGTTGCCAGCGCTCGATGGGCCCGTCGCGGCGCCCTGTTGGCCGGGGCCGTTCGCGGGGCCCTGCGGCGGGTCGCCGTCGCCCGGTTCTTGGCCAGTCGGTTCTGCCAACGGGGCGACTGGGCCGCTGGCATCATCCAGTAGATCACGCCCTGGGCGACGTTTTTGTTGGGAGTACAAGGCAGCGAACGGCGCCCGTGCCCCCGTCGGGCTGCAGCGCAGGGCGAGCTGGACGCAGCCGCGGATCTCGCCGCCACCACGTCGGGCCTGGCGCGGCGCAAGTGGGTCTCTGAGGCCCCCGGCCACTGGGTACGCGACGATGCTGCACTGCTGGTGGATGATGAAGCGCACTAGCACCGCCTGCTTGGTCGCCACGTTGAAGGGCGGGGCGCGGTCGCCAGCGGGCTCTCCGAAGCTTCTGCGTAGAGCGTCGCGCATGTAGCGCATGACCTGGTCGTGCTCGATCGACGCGAACAGTGCGACGTGGGTCTGACGGCCAGTCGCACAGCGCCTCTAAGTTGTTGATGTCCTCGATGCAGACCTCGATTATCTCGCGAGCGCGCATCTTGAATTGCGGAGCGTTCGGGTCGCAGTGGATGCTGCTGACGGCGTCGACGGGCGCGCCGATCGCGCAACGCCAAACGTCGGCAGTCGCGGCCCCCGAGCGAACGCCGAGAGGTGGCTCCTCGAAAAGCGTCTGGGTTTAATCGCACACGGTAGACGCGCCCGCGGTGGCCGCGGGCCTGGCGGCCCTCTCTGGCGGGGTTGGTTCGTAGGGAAAGCGGGCGCTGCCCTCGCGCGTCGGAGGAGTCGGCTGGGGGCCGCGCGGCAGGTGCTCGCTGAACAATCTGCGCAACATTGACCTGCCCAGCCCTCGGGCCAAGCCGCTCGCAATCTGCGAGTTGGGCAGCGACGGCGGAACGCGGTGGAGGACGCGCGCCAAGGTTGGCACGCCCGCCCCCTCGCATCATGGCGGCGGGGGTGTGGATGGCACCGGCTTAGCAGATGGCTCGGCGGCGGCGCCCTCTGGCGCCCCTGCGTCGGTTGGCCCGCCAGCGGCGGGGCGAGCTGCCGTCTGGCCGGGCGACCGCGTTGTTTTGCACGCGACGACGCGTGGAATGACCCTTGAGGGCCGACGCCATCGTCAGCCATCAAGTTGATGATAACCGCTGGTGTCCTGCTGGATGCGGCCCGTCTACTCTGGTGGTTCGCTTTGTCTTGGCATCTGCGTCGTGACGGGGAAGGTCGGTTCAGTCGGATCGGTCGGTTGGCGCTGGACTTGGCTGATGTCGGAGTGGTCTGTCGCCGTGGGTGGGTTCGCCGTCTGGATCTCTGCTATGGCCCCCACGATGCTTTCCTGGTGTAGACAGCTGTCGCGCCGGTTCTTCATGACGTCGTTGACGTAGACCCTGACCTAAGGATTGCCCGCGAGGTACTTCAACAGCTCGTCCGCGGCGCTCCCCATGACGATGCCATTGATGACGTAGGAGTACATATCTTGTAGAGGCCGTCGCTCTGGTTGCACTTGGCCACCGGGTAATCTACTGCGGAGATGTCGACGTATACCGAACGAGCGGCTAGCCATGGCGCCCCTGGGTTTGACGGTGGCGGTGGTTGTCATGAGCCTAAGTTCAAACCAGTTCTTCATTAATTTGAAACTCGCAATTGGTATGGTCATAGCATGGTTTGCCCTGGTCTGCTATGGTATATTTCGGCACGGTTAACCTTCCATTGAGGAGCCTGGCCAAATCATCGTCGTTTTCATCACGTAACGTTCCTCCCACGGTTTCTGATATGTCGCTCAAGTTCTTCAACGCCTTCGGGTAGCCTGGGCGAACTTGCCCCAATGGATTCTACAATGTTTCATTCAACTCTAGGAATTTGACTCCACCTCCCTCATAATTCTAAAGCGGTTGCATTGTTCTATACTCGTTAACTGGCTCGTATTCAACCCCACCGGAAAGATTATTGCGCTCTCCGCGATTGATTAGATCATGACTTCCGTTTGGTCCCTCGCGTTCCTCTTGGCGCCCACTTGATCCTCCAGGTGTTCAATCTGGGTCTGCAACTCTTTGGTTGCACTGTCGCCAAACATGCTTCGACGAACCATGCTTGGTAGTCGCGAACTCATGCTTTCTGTCAGGAGGAATAGCCCATCGCAGTCTTCATTCGTGACAGTTGATAGTCCTGTTGCCGTCCCTCGCCCAATGAATTCGTGCATGCCCTCACGATTAGCCCCAAATGCTACTTCCACAACGGTAGTCCCCACCATGATATACCGCTGCGCATAACCCTGTGAGGCGTACTGGGTTTAGGTCAAATCACTGACCTCTGTCCTGGGATCCTTAACACTCTGGGAGGGGGTCGCCAGGAGCAGCTGGAGCCGCATACAAATCCGAAAGGAATTCCACAGGAACGATGGTATTCTCTTTACTGTGGGCACAATTGGCGTAAGCTCCACTGGTGAACTCATTGGGTCGAACGGCGTCGGTAACGACGACCGCTCGACCTCCATACACATCTGAGTTCCTCGTTGCCACGCCTTGTTATAACAAAGCGTCCTCCTCCTCCTCCTCATCCTCCGCCCCCTCCTCCATCCTGCCCTCCCACCGTCCCTCTATCCGCCCCTCACTCCCTCCCTTCTCCATCCTCTCTACCCCTTCCTCGACCCGCGCCACCCGCCCTCGCCCAGAGGACACCGCTTCCATTACCCCTCCACATCCCTCCCCCCCTGCCCTCTCCCCCTCCCCCTCCTCATTATCCTCCTCCTCCTCCTCCGCCTCCGCCTCCTCCTCCTCCTTTTCGTCCTCCTCTCCATCCTCCTCCTCCTCCTCCTCCTCCTCCTCCTCCTCCTCCTCCTCTTCTTCCTCCTCCTGCTCCTCTTCCCTGTCCTCCTCCCCCTCCTCCTCGTCGACCCTCCCCCCCGCCCTCGCCAGTAGTACCCCTCCTTCCCCTCCCCCCCCTCTGTCCAACTAAAACATATGAATACTACGTCATCGGCTCCCCCGAGAGTGTCCAGAAGATCTCCCGCCCCCTCCGCGTGCTGCTGTTTTTCTTACACACAGAGTTTCACATCTTGACTTGTCAAATTCAAAAATTCGCCGGTGCTTCGAAACGGTGCTCCCGCTGCAGCGCGGGCCTCGTTTTCGGAGCGGCGCGCCGCCCCCGTCGATCGGCATGGCGAGCTCGCCCCCGGCGCGGACCACTTCTCTGGGTCCAGGTCGTGTTTCGCGGTGGTCCCCCCCACACGCCATTTCCCCTCGTCTGCCTTCCCCCGGTCCTCCTGTTCCTCCTGCTCCTCCCACTCCAGTTCCTGCGGTTGCTGTTCGTCCCGCCCCAGGGAAGACCACTGTTCTGCATCCGAATGTCTTTTCATCGTTGTCGCCCCCCTCATTTCCCCTCCTCCGCTTTCCCCTGGCTCTCCTGTCCCTCCCGATCCCTCCGCGTTCGTTCCTTCTGCTGCTGTTCGTCCTCGTCCTTTCACTCCCGCTCATGCTTCTGCTCACTCGCCAACTCCTCCTCCTCCTCCTCCTCCTCCTCCTCCTCCTCCTCCTCCTCCTCCTCCTCCTCCTCCTCCTCCTCTTCCTCCTCCTCCTCCTCCTCCTCCTCCTTTGCACGCAGCTCCTCATTTTCCGACTGCGCATAGCACGAAGTGATCTTTCTATGTTCTATGCGAATCGCAAGTCAACTACGACAAGCGTCCGCGGATAGAGAAAATCAACGCCATGAAGGAGGAGGAGGAGGAGGAGGAGGAGAAAGAGGAGAAGGAGGAGAAGGAGGGGGAGGAGAAGGAGGAGGAGGAGGAGTGAGGAAGAGGAGGAGAGGAGCGGAGGAGGAGTGAGAAAGAGGAGTGAAGAGGAGTAGGAGGAGGAGGCGGAGGAAGAGGAGGAGGAGGGAGGGGGGAGGAGAGGAGGAGAGGAGGAGGAGGAGGAGGAGGAGGGGGGGGAAGGAGGAGGAGGAGGAGGAGGAGAAGGTGGAGGACGAGAAGAGGAATAAGATGTCAAATGAGGCGTGAGCGTACGTAATTTGCCCGGTCCGCTCTCCACCCTCCCGCTTCCCCATCCCCATCGCCGGCAGTGGCAACACCGTCGATGATATGAAGTCCTGGGTGGAGTGGGTACGACGTACTGCTCAGATGGCAGAACAGTCCTTTGCGAAAAAAAGGGCTGCGGGAATTGGGCCAGCGTGCAGGGACACAAAAGATCAACAGCGACCACATGGACAAGTGAAATTACAGAGCTTACTCTGTAAGGGGGGGCCTGGGAGCGTCTTGGAGGTGCCTGGGAGCGTCTTGGAGGTCCATTAGTGGAGGTCCACTGTTGGAGGAGGAGGGGGAAGAGGAGGAGGAGGAGGGGGAAGAGGAGGAGGAGGAGAAGGAGTAGGAGGAGGAGGAGCTGGGAAGGGAAGGGACCCGGAGATCTGCCGAGGGGCTGAGAGAAGACCGCGCGGGCCAAGAACGAGACGGACCGACAACCTCTGAGGGGCTGCGGCCCCGCCGCCGTCTTCTTCAGGAAGGCGCGACCCGCGCAAGCGCGGAGCGGTGTCGGCACTCGCTTCGCCTCGCCTCTCCCTCCTCCTCCTCCTCTCCCCCCCTCCATCCTCCTCTCTCCTCCTCCTCCTCCTCCTCCTCTCCTCCTCCTCCTCGTCCTCCTCCTCCTCCTCCACCTCCTTCTTCCTCCTCCCTCCCTCCTCCTCCTCCTTCCTCCTCCTCCTCCTCCTCCCCTCCTCCTCCTCCTCCTCCTCCCCTCCTCCTCCTCCTACCTCCTCCTCCGCCTCCTCCTCCCCTCCTCCTCCTCCTCCTCCTCCTCCTCCTCCTCCTCCCCCTCCACTCTCTCTCTCTCTTCTTTCTCTCCTCCCTCTCTCCGTCATTTCTCTCTCTCTCATCCTCTCTCTCTCTCTCTCTCTCTCTCTCTCTCTCTCTCTCTCTCTCTTTCTTTCTCGTCTCCTGGCCTCTCCTCCTCCTCCTCCCTCCTTCCTCCTCCTCCTCCTCCTCCTCCTCCCTCCTCCCGTCCCTCCGTCCCTCCCTCCTCCTCCCTCCCTCCCTCCCTCCTCCCTCCCTCCTCCTCCTCCTCCTCCTCCTCTCCTCCTCCTCCTCGCTCCTCCTCCTCCTCCTCCTCATCGTCATCATCCTCCTCCTCCTCCTCCTCCTCCTCCTCCTCCTCCTCCTCCTCCTCCTCCTCCTCCTCATCATCATCACATCATCATTCACCATCATCATCAGCACCATCACCTCATAATCATCATCATCATCATCATCATCATCATCATCATCATCATCATCATCATCCTCATCATCATCATCATCATCATCTCATCATCATCATCACCATCACCATCACATCATCATCATCAATCATCATCACATCATCATCATCAGCATCATCATCATCATCATCATCATCATCATCATCACCAACATAAGCATCAGCATCCGCATCAGCATCAGCATCAGCATCAGCATCAGCATCAGCATCATCATCATCATCATCATCATCATCATCATCATCATCATCATCATCATCTTCATCATCATCATCAGCAGCATCATCATCATCAGCATCATCATCTTCATATTCATCGTCTTCGTCATCAGCAGCATCAGCATCAGCATCAGCAGCAGCACCATCATCATCATCAGTATCATCATCATCGTCATCATCAGCAGCAGCATCATCATCACCACCACCACCACCACCGCCATCAACATCATCATCATCATCATCATCATCATCATCACCACCACCACCACCACCACCACCATCATCATCATCATCATCATCATCATCATCATCATCATCATCATCATCATCATCATCATCATCATCGTAATCACTCCTCCTCTTCCTCCTCCTCCTCCTCATCCTCCTCCTCCTTCATCTCCTCCTTCAGTCCTTTGCCTTGTGAATAAGTCCTCCCTATCGCACCCCGAGGCCGGTCGAAAAGGCGGGCTGGGCATTTCGCCTGGGACGTCCTCACCATTTTTGGTCCTGAAGCTGAAACTTTGCAAGAGCTTCACAGATGGAGGGCGGGCCGTTTTCAAAACGTGGCTCTCGCCTCAACGCCCCGCGAATCCGTCTTAAGAATTCGCAGAAGCGCTACGAATGGAGGGTGGGTGGTGTTCAATATGTGGCTATCGCCTTAGCGCCGCGCACATCCGACCTAAAACTTCGTCGGAACTTCACGGATGGAGGGCACTTCCTTGTCAAAATGTGGATCTCGCCTTAGCGCCGCGCACAATCGCTTTAAGGCGTTACAGCAATTTCCGAGATTCTCATGGTTAACGTCCTAGAGAGAGCGTTTTGGCACGAGGTCGGCCTGTCAGGGCGCAACCTTTATGCTTATTCATGGCGGTGAAATCCCAAGAGTAGCGTTCTGGCGTGATTCAGGACTGTCTCAACGCAACAGTAGCGGCAATTCGCGGCGTTGAAGACCCAGAAATGGTGTTCTGGCACACTTCATAATTTTCAAGCGGCTGTTGTCCAACGGGGCGCTTCCTCCAGTGAAGATGACTTCTTGTAGGGTCATATGAAGACGGAACTTGGAGAAAGGGTGCTTGCAATATCGTTGATGCAGTTTGAGCTTACACTGGTCGTATTCCTCCTCCTCCTCCTCCTCCTCGTCCTCCTCCTCCTCGTCCTCGTCCTCCTCCTCCTCCGCGTGCTCCTCCTCCTCCTCCTCCTCCTCCTCCACTTCCTCATTCCTTCTCCACTCCACTCCTCTCCTCCTCCTCCTCCTCTCCTCCTCCTCCTCCTCCGCTCTCCTCCTCCTACTCCTCCTCCTCTCCTCCTCTCTCCTCCTCCCCTCTCCTCCTCCCCCTCCCCCCGACCCGCGCCCCCGCCCTCTCCCTGCCCTCCCGCCCCCCCCCCCGCCCCGATCTGCCGCCCCGCGCCGCGCCCCGCTCCCGGAGGAGGCAGCGGGCAGCCCCCGGCGACCCCTGGAGGCGCCGGGCCGCCAGGCGGGCGGCAGTCGCCGCCGCCGCCGCCGTCGCGGGGGAGGAGGGGGAGGGAGGGCGGGGAGAGGGAGGGGGAGGAGGAGGAGGAGGAGGAGGAGGAGGAGGAGGAGGAGGAGGAGGAGGAGGAGGCGGAGGAGGAGGAGGAGGTGGCGGAGGAGGAGGAGGCGGAAGAGGCGGAGGAGGCGGAGGAGGAGGAGGAGGAGGAGAAGGAGGGTGCTGAAAACCTTCCCCAAGCACACTGGTACAAGTTTCGGTATGTTTAGGCCGCAGCAGTAGAACATGTTGCGCGACCCTGCCCTGGAAGTTTTTCTGCATGTGCTGATGGCAGTCGAGGCGTCGGCCGAGTGGCCGAAGATTGCTTCCAAGATCGCCTTCCTGTCCGAGCGCCTGGGCGGTGTGTGCCCTATTGCGCTATCATTCGCATCCTTGCTCGCATTCGGGCGCGACTGCGCCGACCGATTACTCAAGAGTGGGAGTCCCGGAATGGTCGATCGTACTTCTGGGCCTCCAGAGGGAGATCGTGCGATCGCGCCGTCTTGCAGCAGACGGCCTGGTCGGAGCATGTCACCACTAAGGCGAAAGGATCAGCTAAGGGTATTTGGGTCTCTGGTATGGTCCTCTTAGATTTGATGAAAGTGTTCGAGCAGGTGGAGCATCACTGGCTCTTAGAAGCTGCTGTGGCTACTGGATTCCCGCTCTGGAAACTGAAATTGAATATCGAGCTGTACCGCGCTGTACGATTTTGTTGTCTAGGCCAAGTTGTGTCGTCGCCCATGAAAGTCGAGCAGACGGTTCTCCCTGGCGACGGCTGGGCAACGTGCATGCTTAAGCTCATTTTGATTCGGCCTCTCGATTCTGTGTATCGTTTGCACCGCACGATCGTTCCCACCATCGTCGTTGACGACTTGTTGCTGCATCGGATTGGCACGCAGTCGAGAGTCACACGAGTTGGTCCAGGTCTCGCTTGAGTTGCAGGCAGCGCTCGCCGCGGTGGATCTGCGCGTGCATGTGGATAAGTCGAGAGTATTGTGCAATGTGCAGTGTGTGAGAGAGGAGATTGCACGGCGTTTGCACGCTAAGATGGGTACGGAAGCTACGCAGCACGAGAGGAACCTTGGGATCGATTTGTCCTGTGGGCGGAGAGTTGGGCACGCTGTACGTAAGGAACGTCTTCGGGGTGCACGAGCACGTCTACGTCGCATGCGTCTTATCCGCGCTGGGAAAAAAGAAACGGCTTGCTGTGCGAAAGGTTGCACGCTCTGGGCTAGAGGCGAGCATGACGTATGGCATGAATGTCACAGGATGCTCCACGTCTAACCTTGAGACCATGCGCAGCACGGCCTGTTCTTGTCTCACGAGTGCCACAGCGGGCAAACCACGTACGCTAGCTCTGATGTGCGAGAAGGATGCAGACCCAATCCTCCGCGCCACTCCCTTGCCTGTCCTCACGCCCTGCCGAGCTATATGGGAGGGGCGGGTGCCGAGGCATGTGGTGCGGGTGGGATTGGAAGGTGCTTCGGCCGTCACTCCGTGGATCCAAGTGTCTGGTCCGTCTGGTGCGTGTCGGCCTTCGCTGGAACGAGTTGGGTGGTCAGTGCGTGCCGCTGTTTGTTGGACAGCCCACGATGGCCTCGATTTAGATGTGGCTGAGCTGTGGCCCAGAGTGGTTCGCCATCATGTGGTGCAGGCAGCTGCCACGGCCTGGCAATGGTGACAGGTGGCGAAGCATGGAAGACTTGAAGCATCTCGAGTCTGGCGCCGCTTGGATGCCCTTGGTCCAGGCGGTCTCTGGTGGACGGCCCCGGTGCGGGGAAAATCCTGACCTCCCGACCCTGGGGGCCCGAGGCTCGTGCGTGCTTGAAGCCGTGCACAGTGAACGGCCAGTGGCCCGTGGCCAGGAAGCATGAGGCACGCAGGGCCACGAACGACGAGCGCTTGGTGTGTAGGCGACCTGGCACGCTGGTGCACAGGCCTGTTGAGTGCGAGCTGTGCCGAGAGCTGCCGTGCCCCAACGCGTCTGGCCCGCTGGCCCAGGCTCGGGACCGGCCCCGGGTCCGTGTGCTGCTGGAGAGGGCGCTGTGGCCGATCCCTCGGACCTCGTGGAGAGCCCCCCACCCAGGACGCCGTGGTTTGGCACAGGCACGCGGGCCCTGGGGTCCCGATTGCCAGGGAAGCCTTCCTGGACGGGTCGGCGTTCGAAAGTCAGTGGAGTTCGCTTCGTTGTACAGGCTGGGCTGTTGTCACCTTTAGGTGAGCAAGAGCCGCTCGGGGTCGAGGATGACGTTGATTGCACCTGCTCGCATGCCGTGTATGATGTCGACGGGGCCGAATAGAGGCACTGATTTTTCTGGTTCAGAATGCTGTGCCGCCGATTGTAGCCGTCACCGATTCCGATTTTGTGTTCCGTGGGGTGACCGAAAGAGGAGAAGAGGCCACCACGGCCCACTCCTCGGCTTGGACTTGTCGGTGGCGCGTCTTCTGGAGAACCCTGGAGGATTTCGAAGGACTCGGCGCCGACGGACTTTTGTTGCGCAGGGTCAAGAGTCACTGCACGATGTCGGACGTTGCTGCAGGACGGATTTCACGTAGGGATAGATTCGCCAGCTTCCAGGCCGACGTTTGGGCCAAGTTTGGAGGCCAGCTCGCACGTGCGCCCGCTGAAGATCGGAGGCACATGCAGCAGGCTGAGCAGTTTGTTGAGCAGGTTGGGCACAGGATCGGGGAGGTTGGCGCGCACGTGGATGCGCGCGACACGTCACACGTGGCGCGCCGTGTGCGTGTGTACATGCCTCCTCCCCTTGTGGTCGTGCCCGTTTAGTTGATGCATGACTCGAAGGGGCCTGCCGACAGGCCCTGGCTTGCGTGCTGCCGTGCCGCGGCCCCCGCGACGCAGACCTGCCCTGGGTCGATCGCGTCGCGCGCGCGTGATGCCAACGAGCGGCTGCAGCAGCAGGGCCTGAAGGCACCTCGTCTGGCTGTTTTTCGGATCGAGGAATCCCTGCAGGCGGTGGCCCATCCTGTGGTTGCGTGCGTGCACTGTGGTGCTCACAGTGCTAAGCAGCTCAAAGGATTCCTCACCCCCTGTGGCGTGCCTGGCGAGTGGCGCAGGGGGGCCGTCCGAAGGATGAGCCAAGGCTACCTGCCAGGAGCGGCTGGGAAAGTCCCAGCCGTGTTCGCCCCTTTGGAGTAGGGCCTTCCCGCGTGGACAGTTGTGCCCTCAGAGGTGGGCGCCACGGCATCGGGAAGAAGAGGAGGAGGAGGACGAGAGAGGGAGTGAGAGAGGGAAGAAGGGAGCATCGTCGTCAGCAGCATCGACAACAACTTCATGGCGTCCCTTGTTACGACAGACGCGCGCCAAAGCGTCTTCTCAAGGATACTCTCGGGGTCCGAGCCTGTCAAGCCTGCGGCGAGGAGTCAACGCGGCCCTCCAGGGCCAGTTTCTGGAACCACCGAACCACTCACTTCTGAAGTGAGGCAAAGAATTTACGAGCAGAAGACGGGCACGGTCAGGCCAGTGTCTCCACGGCCGAAAACGGCAGAAGATGTTGGGGGGCAGCTTGCGGGCGTGGCCACGGGTCCGAACAGCTCTACAAGTAGCCCGCCATACCCCCGTTCACGAGTTCATACATTCATCATGGCGTCCATTCTTACGGCGGACGCGCGCCAGAGCGCCGCGCGCGTGCGTTGGCGGCAGGTTCGCTCACCCCACCCCGCAGGCAGGCAGGGACCCCGATGCCCAAGGGCCCCACGATAGGTCAGCACGAACCTCAGCTACATTCACATACAACCCAGTCCACGCGCCCGTCGGGGCCCAACAGGCACACCCGGCCCACGGCCGCGACGGGGCTGCAGCAGAGGGCCCACGGCCCCGAAAGGGCTGCAGTGGGCTGCAGAGGGGGCGCCCCTCTCAGGGATGCCCTTGAGGGTCCGAGCCGGGCCCGCCTGCGGCGAAGGGTGGCCAGGGACCGACTGAACCCAGGAGCCAACGCGGCCCTCCAGGGCCAGTCTCTGAGACCACGTGACCACACTTAGGCCGAGCAGGTCCCCCCACAGGCGGAAGTTGGGCGAGAAGTAAAAAATATTCAGAAGATGATCGAACATGGTCAAAACTAATCAAAAAAACTATGTTGTGACTGTTTTTGAATACTCCTCCTGTAGAGGGACACGCCCGACTGAATGCCAGTCTCTGAGACCACCTCACCACACTCCAGCATTCCCTCTTCTTTTTCTGGCCCACCGGCCGCACAGTCACTCCAGGAGGCGCCCGTGCGAGGGCCCCGGCGCCGCTCTTGTGGGGGGGGGCCGTCCCTCTGACTCACCGGCGACGTCTCCGGTCGGGACGACGCAAAGAAGCGAGGGAAGTCACGCTCCACCTGCCCCCCATCAGGCTATAACCAACCGCCTCGACAGCTTCACCCCAGAAAGATTGGATGGCTTCCAATTTTCGACTACTTACCAGACCACCCCATCCCAACCCGAAGACCCGAATTTGACCCGAATTTCGGGTTGGGGGGGTATGGGCTCCATGTGTTTTTGTTCCATGTTCCCGGACCCCCCCCCACACAGGAAACGGAGGGCAGATTGAAGCCTTCGGGTTGGGTTGGGGTGGTTTGGTGGGTGGTGAACCTTTGCTGACTGACATGCCACACAGCAGCGATGCATCGCCAAAAGCATCAGCGATGCATCGCCACAGCATCAGCGACGCAAACAGTCGGGCCGACTTATGTTGGCCCGGCGGCCTCGCAGGGCAGCTCCACCCAGGCCCTGATTGGCGATGAGTGGGCGATTGGGGATCCATGTCTCCCTCCCTGGGCCAGTCCCCCTTAAATTACCCTTGACCTTCCCCATCTGGCGACTGAAACAGACCATGGAGTCCATCCACTCGTCCTATCATGTTGTCACCGATTCACTCCGTGCTCTCTGCTTCGGGCCGTGGAGGAGACTGGGCTGCGGTCGCCTGCTGCCCACTCCCAGGGAGTTCATGGACCTCGCAGTGGGGAGCTGGACCACTTTTTTCTCGTCGGCGGCGAGGCCGAGGCAGTCTGCTCCAGCGTCTGGCTACTCGGGGCAACCGAAAGGCGCAGCTGGACCACACGCACGGACTGGGTTCCCATGCGGAAGATGCGGAGCCCACGCGCCGGGTACACACGCGGAGGACCGACGTGCGCAGCCGTGCGAGGAACGCCCACTGGAAAGACACGCGACCACGTGCGTATCCGGCCCTCGCCCAGGCTGGCCACATCAAGTGCATCCGGCATCATGGCAGGTGTCAATCACACGCAACGACGCCAATGCCCTGCTTGGATGCGTAGTGGGGCGAAGGATTGCAGATCGACTTAAGTGAGACCAAGCCGAGACGGGGTCGCCCGATATGGTTGCTTTCGAAACCTTCCTGGCAATCTCCGAAAACCTCATCCCTTCTTCCATCCTCCTCCTCCTCCTCCTCCTCCTCCTCCTCCTCCTCCTCCTCCTCCTCCTCCTCCTCCTCCTCCTGATCACCACCATCATCAGCAGCAGCATCAGCATCAGCATCAGCATCAGCATCAGCATCAGCATCATCATCATCATCATCATCATCATCATCATCATCATCATCATCATCATCAGCAGCAGCAGCAGCAGCAGCAGCGTCATTCTCACCAGCAGCAGCATCATCATTACCATCACCATCACCATCACCATCACCATCACCATCACCATCATCATCATCATCATCAGCATCATCAACCTCATCATCATCATCATCATCATCATCATCATCAGCAGCATCATCATCATCATCAGCATCATCATCATCATCATCATCATCATTATCATCATCATCAGCATCGTCATCAACATAATCATCATCAGCATCATCAGCAGCAGCATCCTCATCAGCATCAGCATCAGCAGCAGCATCATCAGCATCATCATCAGCAGCAGCAACAGCAGCAGCAGCATTATCAATCAATCAATCAATCAATCAATCAATCAATCAAGCAAGCAAGCAATCAATCAATCATCATCATCTCCCTCTTCTCCGAAGTCCCCTGTACCCCGTGGATCAGTGAGTGACAAGCGCGCTCAGCCAGCCCGCGCAGCGAAGCCAACTGTCAATGGGCTGATGTGTTCCCCTCCGAAAGCTTGCTGCATCTCCTCCTCCTCATCATCATCATCCGAAATACCTCACCATCATCCTCCTCCACCCCGTCCTCTTCCTCCTCCTCCTCCTCCTCCTCCTCCTCCTCCTCCTCCTTCCCTCCACCTCCTCCTCCTCCTCCTTCTCCTCCTCCTCCTCATCTTCCACCTCCTCCTTCCCCCATTTACGACCTCCTCCACCTCATCCTCCTACTGCTCATCCCCTACGGTGGGGGACCGCTACGCGCGACCCCACCACCCTCGAAGATCTTTGCGAAGGCCTCATCCATTACATTTCCCATAATTAACTCCGCCCCGTCGCACCCTCTGACGAGTCGGCAGGGCGGGCTGAGCGATTCGCCTGAGACTTCCTCTGTGTATGATCCTGAAGCTTGAAATTTTCAACAGCTTCAAGGATGGAGGGGGAATGGCTTTCTGCAACAGCTTCAGGGATTTGCATGGTGGGTGTTCCAGCACGAGGATTGCCAGGACGCAAGAGTCACATTGATGCGCAGCGTTGAAGTCCCAGGAAGTTCTCAAACGGTTGTCTTTCATCGCGGCACTTCCCGGACTTGCAGGGGCCTTTGACGAAGGAACTTGGAGGGAGGGCTTAATGCAACACTGCTGATGCGTCTTGGGTTTACGCTTGTCCTCCTTAGGGGGCCACATGTGAACCCTACCCCCACCCCCCACGATTCCTGAGGGGGAGGGTGGGGTTCACTTCGTTCGGGAGCTCCCGAGCGAAGTGAACCCCACCCCCCCCCTCAAAAATCGGGGGGGGTAGGGGGTAGGTTCACATGTGGCCTCTCCTCCTCATCCTCCCTCCTGACTCTCCTCCTCCACCTCCTCCTACTCCTCCTACTCCTCCCCCCCTCTCCTCTCCTCCTCGTCCTTCCCCTCCTCCTCCGCTCCCTCCTCCTCTCCTCCTCCTCCTACTCCTCCTCTCCTCCTCCTCCTCCTCTCCTCCTCCTCCTCATCCTCGTCATCAGCAGCATCACATCATCATCATCATCTATCATCATCATCATCATCATCATTCACCTCATTCAACAGCAGCATCCTATCCTATTATGATCATCATTCCCTCCCCTCCTCCTCCTCCTCCTCCTCCTCATCTCATCATCACATCATCATCATTAATCATAATCATCATTCATCATCATATCAGCTCATCACATCATCATCATCATCATCAGCACATCATCATCATCATCATCATCATATCATCATCATCACATCACCTCATCAGAGTTCTCCAAAGAAGAGATTCTCCTCTTCCACCTCCTCCTCCTCCTCCTCCTCGCCCCTCCGGCGAGGAGCCGAGCGAAGGCCACGGCCGAGGGCAACAGGGGCGGGGCCGGCGGCTCCTGGGTACAGCGCGCCCCACGGCGGTGCACCTCCCCTCCCCGCCCGGCTGGCCGGCACCTCGCCTGTCTCTTCAGGCCTCCTCCTTCCTCCTCCTCCTCGTCCTCGTCCTCCTCCTCCTCCTCCTCCACCTCATCTCCTCCTCCCCTCTCCTCCTCCTCCTCCTGTCCTCGTCCTCCTCCTCATCCTCCTCATCCTCCCTCCCTCCTCACTTCCATCACTCTCTCCCTTCCCTCCTTCCCCTCCTCTGTCCTCCCTCCCTCCTTTACTTCCTTCCCTCCCACCCTCCTCCTCATCCTCCGCCTCCTCCTCCTCCTCCTCCTCCTCCTCTGCCGCGACTCCTCTCCTCATCCTCCTCCTCTCTGCCGCCGCCGCCGCCTCCTCCTCATCCCTCCCTCCTCCTCCTCCTCCGCCTCCTCCTCCTCCTCCTCCTCCTCCTCGTCCTCGTCCTCCTCCTCCGCCTCCTCCTCCGCCTCCTCTTCCTCCTCCTCCGCCTCCTCCTCCTTCTGCACGACGGCTGGGAAGCTGGGAGAAGGTGGCGCACAGCGTGGAGGAGGGCGCACAGGGAGCCGTGGATCGAGCTCTGGAGGCTGGTCGAAGGCCATGGAGGGCAGAGAAATCAGCATCGTCAAGGGGAGAGAACCCACTGCACGTAGCACGACGTCCGCGAGGGCCGCAGCTCGGACGGGCAGCGAGCGGGGAACGCCGGAGCGGACAAGCGCGCGACGGAGGAGGGGCACACCTTCACGGAGTTGCTCAAGGTCGATTGGACCGCATCATGATGGCGGGTAACTTGGCCAAGGAGCTGGCGGCCCGGATCGGGGAGGCGATGCAGGCTGGCGACGCCTCCTCAGGGCGGCGGACGGCCTCAACGCGCCTGGGCTGGAAGCGACTCGCTGCGCCTGGCCCGAGCGCAGGGGGAGGCTGCACGCGGACTGGTCGTGGCATGCCCGACGAGTGTGTGCGACCTCCACGGCACGGCCATCATCACGGACATGGGGGCGAAGTGGGGCTACTGGTCCTGCGCGGGTTCTGGGACGGCCAGCCAGGATGGTCGTGCTGCTGCCGCAGATGATGAACGGCAGGGCAAGGGGCTGGCATGGACCAGTGGAGGTGAAGGTGCTGGGCATGCTGACGCAGCGGCGGCCACCGTGGCAGCGGCTTTGGGCGTGGCGATCTGGGAGGGCCCGAGTGCAGACAGGGGCGGAGCGCCCGATGAAGCTGCCCGAGGTCAACCAGGAGGAGATGGAGGTGGAGGTGAAGAAGCCACCCCACAGGGACTTGGCCGCGGCTTGCCCATCGCTGGGACGTCCCTTCCCCGTGCATGCTTCGGTTTCCGCTCGTGTTCTGCTGTCTGTTGACGGATGGTCCAGGATGCTCCTCGATGGTCCTCGCCGGCGAAAAAAGCCTGCACACGTCCGAGCGGCGCCCAGCGGGGGAAGAGGACGTGGAGGCAGAGGTGCCGCTGCCGCGCGAGGGAAGCCCCCGGGAGGCGAGCCGAGACACAGCAGGCTCGCCCCGTGCGCGGCGAGCCGCTCCCGCGCGAGGCCACGAGGCGCGGTCGGGTCCGCTCGGAATCTTGGCCGCGTCGGCCCCGGCGGCTGGCGGTGGGCGCTCCCTGGGGGGGGGTGCTTGCCATCGCTCGGACGTCCATTCCCCGTGCATGCTTCGGTTCCGTGCGCGTGCTTTTGTCGCCAGATGATGCAAGATGCTCCCCGGTGGCCCTCGCCGAAAAAACATGTTCAACCATCCAGGCAACCCCACGCCAATGTTGTTGGAGCTCGCGGCAAGGTGGTCGAGGACACCCTCGAGCAGCTCAAACAACTAGTGTGGCATGGTGGTCAGGCAGCCACCGAAGCGATGCGAACAAGAGACCCAAAAAGCACGAGCACAGGAGGAACAAGAGAGGAGGCAGGAACGGCGGGGAAGGCCTTCCTGGCCCTCGCCGACGGAAAACAACTGCACGCGTCCGAGCGACGCCAAGGGTGTGCTCGGCCGCCTGGCCCGCGGGCCGCCGTGCGGTGGCGGGGCCCTTTGTCGTGTCCCCTGCCGGCCTCAGGCAGCGGGGGGGGAGCCAGGCGGGGACCCCACCGTCTGGGCGTCGGGGGTCCCTCCTCGTCGCCGCTGCGCTGGGGATCGCTCGTGCAGCGTGCGCTTCTTTCGCGCGGCTGCCGCCCCTGGTGTGGGGAAGGCCGCGCGGAGAGCTGGGCGAAGCGCTCTCGACGCTCGCGCCACTGGTGGAGGATCTTCCCCAACATCCTCATCCTCATCCACATCCTCATCCTCATCATCATCATCATCATCATCATCATCATCATCATCATCATCATCATCATCATCAGCAGCAGCAGCAGCAGCAGCAGCATCCACATTGCGCCGCATTGTCGTCACCATCAACGTGGCCTCCGAAGGGGGGGGTTGCAATCGACTACCCCCTCTCCCGCCCCAAAAGGCCCCAAGAGCCTCCCAAGAGGCCACAGGGGAGCCCAAGACGCCGCCACGGAGCCCCAAGAGGCTCCCAAGAAGCCCCCAAGAGGCCCCCAAGAGGCCCCAAAGAACGCTCCAGGGCTGGCGGAATGAGCGAAGCGATTAAATAAAACCACAACAACGACGACAGCGGCCACATTAAATGAAACAACAACAACAACAACAACAACAACAACAACAACAACAACAACAACAACAACAATCATTTTACCCGAACGCTCAGTGTTCTCACCAGTGCCAGGGTTTTCATGCGACGCGAGACAATACCCCCACTTCGTGGGGGGGCAGTTCAAGCTCTACCAAATATCCAAACGACTCTTCGCGACCACCCAAACCCAGCTTCCCGCCCTATGACGTTGGGACACTTCACTTCGTGGCGTGCGGACGACCGTGGCTACTACACTGGCGTGGGGTACACGCCCACAGAAATTGGTCACTTATTCGGGGCGCGCGTGTGCCCAGCATCCTGCAATTGTGACATACAATACATGACACAGACAGACAGAGAGAGAGACAGAGAGCAGACAGAGAGAGAGACAGAGAGAGCGGAGTTGGTCACATTTTTGGGCAAGTTCCTGAGATCGTCGTGTTTTTTGTTGGTCTTGCGCGCGCGAATGTCCACTTTACTTTTTTTTGCAAGGGAGTATTGAAATTTGATGATGTTAGAACAAGAAAAAGTAGCTCGCGCGAGCTCATGTAACATAAATGTTGAAAAACCATTGGTTTTGTGGGAGTCGGACAGCGCGCGCGGGATGAAATTTGGACATTTTTTTGAAAAACCATTGGGTTTTTGATGTTTTTATGTTGAAATCGCTACGAAACCTAAGGTTCTGGAAGGATGTCGTGTCGCGATTTTTGGCGCGTTCTTTTGGGGGGGGGTGCGCGCGCATGTCCACTTTACCTTATTTTTTGCAAGGGATTATTGGAATTTGATTATGTTAGAACAAGAAAAAGTAGCTCGCGCGAGCTCATGTAACATAAATGTTGAAAAACCATTGGTTTTGTAGGATTCGGACAGCGCGCGCGGAAGGACATTTTGACAATTTTTTCTTAAAAAACCATTGGGGTTTTGATGTTTTTATGTTAAAATCGTTACGAAACCTAAGGTTTTGGAAGGATTTCGTCTTGCGCGCACGAATGTCCACTTTACCTTTTTTTTTGCAAGGGATTCTTGCAATTTGATCAAGTAAAAACAAGAATTTTCATTTTCTATTGTTTTTTGCAAGGGAAAACGAGCGTCAACAAAAAACCGGATCCGGACATAATCCACTTTTCTGAAGCTTTCGCGAAAAAATGATGAAAATGTAGCTGCGGCCTAGGTTTTGGAGGGGGGTCGCGCACCAGGGGCCCCAACAATAATTATTCTTTAGAAGTAATAATGTTCAACAACAACAATCACTTTACCCGAACGCTCAGTGTTCTCACCAGTGCCAGGGTTTTCATGCGACGCCAGCCAATACCCCCACTTTGTGGGGGGGCAGTGCAAGCTCTACCCAATATCCACACGACTCTTCGCCACCACCCACACCCAGCTTCCCGCCCTATGACGTTCGGACACTTCACTTCGTGGCCTGCGGACGACCGTGGCTACTACACTGGCGTGGAGTACACACCACAGAAGTTGTTAAGCCTACGTTCGTACACCCACAGAAGTTGTTAAGCCTTGTTAACCCACAGAAGTTGTTAAGCCTTCCCCAGAACATCTGTTGCATATGATGCATATGGTACATGATACACATGATACACATGATACGGGGTTTTTGGAGATTTCGGCGTGCGCGCGCGAAGAAAAAACGAATGTGTCCGCATGGTATTATTTGACAGGGATGATGGCCCTGGCAGGTGCGCAACCGTTGTCGCAGAAGTTCGAAAAAGTTGCTCGCAAAAGCCCGTTTGACAGAAATGTTTAAAAAGTGTTGGGGTTCCTACGAATCCGCAAGAGCGCGCGGGATGAGATTTTGACATTTTTTTGTTGAAAAACCATTGGTTTTTTGATGTTTTTATGTTAAAATCGCTGCGAACACTAAGGTTTTGGAAGGATTTCGTCTTGCGCGCGCGAATGTCCACTTTACCTTATTTTTTTGCAAGGGATTCTTGAAATTTGATTATATTAGAACAAGAAATGTCATTTTCTATTGTTTTTGCAAGGGAAAGCGGATTACAACAAAACAACCGGATCCTGTACACACCCTCTTGTCTGAGGCTTCCTCACGAAAATGATGAAAATGTAGCTGCGGCCTAGGCGGCGCAGGGGGGGCGCGCACCAGGGGGCCCAACAATAATTATTCTTTAGAAGAAATAATGTTCAACAACAACAATTACTAGCACGTGGGGACACTCCGTTCTCACCAGTGCCAGGGTTTTCATAGGAGGCGGGCAATACCCCCACTTTGTGGGGGGGCCGGTTCAAGCTCTACCAAATTTCCATACGACTCTTCGCCACCACCCACACCCAGCTTCCCGCCCTCTGACGTTCGGACACTTCACTTCGTGGCATGCGGACGACCGTGGCTACTATTCAGGGCCCCGCGGCCGACGACGACGGCGTGCGCGCGCGAAGAAAAAACGAATGTGTCCCGCATGGTATTATTTGACAGGGATGATGGCCCTGGCATGTGCGCAACCGTTGTTGCAGAAGTTCGAAAAAGTTGCTCGCAAAAGCCCGTTTGACAGAAATGTTTAAAAAGTGTTGGGTTTCCTACGAATCCGCCAGAGCGCGCGGGATGAGATTTTGACAATTTTTTGTTGAAAAACCATTGGTGTTTTGATGTTTTTATGTTAAAATCGCTGCGAACACTAAGGTTTTGGAAGGATTCCGTCTTGCGCGCGCGAATGTCCACTTTACCTTATTTTTTGCAAGGGATTCTTGAAATTTGATTATATTAGAACAAGAAATGTCATTTTCTATTGTGTTTTGCAAGGGAAAGCGGATTACAACAAAACAACCGGATCCTGTACACACCCTCTTTTCTGAGGCTTCCTCACGAAAATGATGAAAATGTAGCTGCGGCCTAGGCGGCGCAGGGGGGGCGCGCACCAGGGGGCCCAACAATAATTATTCTTTAGAATAAATAATGTTCAACAACAACAACAACAACCACAACAACAACAACAACAGCAGCAACAACAACAACAACCACAACAACAAAAACAACAACAACCACAACCACAACCACAACAACAACCACAATTACAACAACAACAACAACAACCACAACAATCACAACAACTTACTACTAACCAGAATAAACAACAGAAACTGCACCATCATATTCGTCAACAGAAGCATCGTCATCATCATCAGCATCAGCAGCAGCATCATCAGCATCAACAGCATCAGCATCAGCATCAGCATCATCGTCATCATCATCATCATCATCATCATCTGTATCATCATCTGTATCATCATCTGTATCAGCATAATCGTCACCATCATCATCCTCGTGATCAGCATCATCATCCTTAGCAGCAGCATCAGCATCAGCATCAGCATTACTCAGCATCGGCATCACCAGCAGCATCAACAACAGCATCAGCATCGGCATCCGCATCATCATCATCATCGCCACCACCATCACCAAAATCATCATCATCACCACTACCATCATCATCATTATCATCAGCAGCAGCATCATCATCAGCAGCATCATCATGATCATCATCATTTGCATCATCATCATCATCATCATCATCATCATCATCATCATCATCATCATCATCATCGTCGTCGTGATCATCGTCAGTACCATCAGCATCATAACCACCTCCACCATCATCATAATGATCATCATCATGATCATCATGGGCATCATCATCATGCTCATCCTCATCATCCTCATCATCATTATCATCATCGTCGTCATCAGCATCATCAGTATCATCATCATCATCATCATCATCATCAATAACATCGTCGTAGACGTCGACATTACCATCATCGTCATCATCAGCATCACTATCATCGGCAGCAGCAGCATCATCTTCATAAGCATCATCATCATAAGCATCATCATCATCGTCATCAACATCCCTCCCCCACCCCTTTTTGTCCTCCCTCCCCCCTCCCGCCCCACCCCCTCAATACCGATCGCCCTCCTGTCCTCCTCATCCTCCTCTTCCTCCTCCTCCTCCTCCTCCCCATCAGCAACATCATCGTCATCGACCACAACCATCATCATCGTCCCCCTACCCCCTCCTCAGCCTCTTCCTCCTCCTCCTCTTCCTCATCGTCATCGCCACCACCAGCACAACCATCATCATCATCATCATCATCATCATCATCATCAGCAGCAGCAGCAGCAGCAGCAACAGCACTTGTTATCACTCGTCCTCGTTCCTTATCACCCCCCTCCTCACCCCTCCCCCTCCCCCTCCCCCTCCCCCTGCCCTACTCCCCGTCTTCCCCTCCCCCTCTCCTACAGTTCCTCCCATCCCTCGCTCCCTCGCTCCCCGCCCTCCCCTTCCCCACCCTGCCCTCCTCACCCCCCGTTCTTGGCCACCCCCTGCCTCCCCCCCCCCCCGAGCCCTGCGCCTGGGAGGCCCGGCAGGCTGGGCAGGCCCAGCAGCCCCGGCATGCCGTAGCTGGGGAACCCGGCCGGCAGCCCCGGATATCCTGCCCACCCGGGGGGGCGGCGGGACGGCGGAGAGGGGGGGGTGCAAGGGGGACGGGGACCCCAGACCTTCCAGGAGGGCTAAAAAATAGCACCCGACTTAAAAACCAGTCCCAAAGCTGTTCTACGTCTTGGTTTTAGGCTGTTTCGCTCAGCTTTTTAGGTTTTTAGGTCTCCAGTGCTAAAAAATAGCTCTCTGGAAGGTCAGGGGAGGAGAGGGGTGCGGGAGGCGGGGGGGCCGGGGGGGTGAAGGGGGCGAAGGGGAGGAAGGTGAGGAGGGACGGGGAGGGCGGGTGGGCAGAACGGAGACGGGGTTTAGTCTTGTTTTAATTCTTTACTTGCTTTCTCCTCTGTTTTATTTCTTTTTTTCGGTCGTTTTTTTTTTTTGTTTTTTCTTTTTCTTTTTTTTTTTTATTTTATTTCTTTTCATTTTTTTCTTATTCGTTTTTTTTTTTTTTTTTTCTTCCGTTTAATTTTCGTTTATTGTTCGTTTATTATTTATTGTTTCTTCTTTTTTTTGCTTTTTCGGGGGAGAGGGGGAGGGGGAGGGGGAGGGGGAGGGGGAGGGGAGGGAAGCGAAATGGAGCACGACGGGGGGGAGGGGGAGAAGGGAGGAGGAGGTGGAGGAGGGAGAGGGGGAGGCTCGGGAGGAAGGGGGGAGAGAGAGAGAGGGGCAGAGGCAGACTGACCGACCGACTGACAGGCAAGCGGACGAGCACGCAGGCGAGCAGACAGAAGTGCTGACAGGCTGACAGCCAGTGGCCAGGCAGGCAGGCACACCCTGCGGGCAAACGCCCGGAAATCCTCCAAGGATTGGCGAACCACCAGCAACCATTCTAAAAACAAGCCGGACAAGGCAGGCAGGCAGACAAGAGGAGGGAAGAAAGAGGGGGGATGAAAGAGAGAGCGAGAGAGCAGCAAACAACGAACTAGAGAGAAAGAGAGAGGGATAAAAATAAGCATCCAGTTTAAAGAGGGGGAGAAAGAGAAGGAGAAAGAGAGAGAGAGAGATAGCAAGGAGAGAGAGAGAGAGAGAGATCGCAAGGAGGGAGAGAGAGAGAGAGAGAGACAAAAAAAACAAAACGAAAGAGATCCATGTTTTTCGTCGTCGCCGTCGTCGTCGTCACCCTTCAAGGTCGGCGGCACGGCCGTCAAGGCCTTCGCGGTCACCATCCAAAACAAGGAGGGGCAGAGAGAGAGGGAGAGAGAGAGAGAGAGAGAACGAGAGACAAAACAAAAACAACAACAAAACACCGCGACGCCCCCCACCACGGTCACTACCAGCGCGCCCGCCTACCAGCACGGCCACTGCGGCGACCGCCACCACCACGACTGCCGCCTGCACACACCCACCCCCCCCCTCCCCCTCCCTTCCCCCTGCCAGGCCGCCCCTGCCGTGGCGTGCGCCTCGCGTTTCGTCCCCTCCTCTCCTTTTTCCTCCCCCGCCTCCCGCCCCATCCCTCTTCAGGAACCAGAAGGCGCAGCCCGACCAAGCAGCTATTCAGGCGCAGCGTGGTGTGTTCGTCGTCTCGCCCCCTGCTGTTGCCTGCTGGCCCGCATCCGTCCTTTTCGAGTGAGAGAGACACGGAGAGAGAACGAGAGAGAGAGAGAGGAAAAATAATATATATATATTATAGATTATAAGAAGAATAATAAGAATAATTAATAATAATAATAATAAAAAAGAAATCCCCCCCCTCTTCCCAAAAAAAAAAAAAAAAAAAAACTCCCTAAAAAAAAGAGAGAGAGAGAGAGAAACAAAAAAAGAGAAAGAGAAAGAGCAAGCAAAAGAAAGAGAGAGAGAAAGAGAAAGACACACAACAAAGAGAGAGAGAGAGAGGGAGAGGAGGCCGGCTTACGTCCACACGCCCACGCGGCCTCCCCCCACGCGGGCGCGCGAGAGGCGGCGGCCACCCTCGACGGGGCCGCGCGCGGCACCGCCGACGGCGCCCCCATCGACACGGCTTGTGGATGGGTCCGCCATGCGCGAGCACAGCGACAACGCCCGCAGGCAAGGCTTTTGCCTCGGATGGGGCGGCGGCGGCCCGAACGGTCGACGGGAAGCGGGCGCGCGACCTTCCGTCCTCCTCCTCCTCCTCCTCCACCTCCGTCCTCCTCCTCCCTCCTCCTCCACCTCCTCCTCCCTCCACCTTCTCGGGCCTATCCTCCTCCTTCTCCTCCCTCCTCCTCCTCCTCCTCCTCCTCCTCCTCCTCCTCCTCCTCCTCCTCCTCCTCCTCCTCCTCCTCCTCCTCCTCCTCCTCCTCCGGGGAGCTGATCCCAGTCGTCTTGAAGTCTGGGGGTCGGCCCGCTGACGGGCTGATCGCCTCTCCCCCAGGGCCAGCGGCGCGGCAGCGCTCCCGCGGAGCGGCACGCTCGCAGGGGCCACTGTCCATCACGGGGCTCGGGGATCTGCTGACCCAGGTCCATCCAAGCCCCAGCCACTGAGGCTTTGCAGGATCATGCAGGATCACTCAGGATCCTGCAGGATCCTGCACTCGAACTCGGGTCAATGCACCCCTGGCTCTGCAGGATCCTGCAAGATCCGCCGCTCTGGCTGACCCCCGTTTGCATTGACCCCCGTCTCTTGAAAACCCGAGGGGCAGCGCGGCAGCTCGCCCCGGACCAGCACCACGGCCACCACTGCCACCACCACGACCACGAACACCACGACCACCGCCACAACAACCATTCCCACGACTACCGCGCTTCGCTTGTCGGCGCCGACCATCCGCCCCCAGCCCCCCCATTCTCCCGCCCACCCACCCCTCCTCCCTCTGCCTGGGGCCGCTCTTGCATGCAGTTGGACGCCCTCATCCTCCCCCATTCCTTTTCCTTCTAAATATTTCCTCCGTGTCGCACCCCGAGGCCACTTTTTAGGGCGGGCCGGGCGTTTCGCATGAGACGTCCTCACCACTTATGACTCTGAAGCTTAAAATGTGGCTCTCGCCTCAGCGCAGCGCACATTCGTTGTAAAAAAAACCATGAACTTCACGGATTGAGGGCGTGGTTTTCAAAATGTGGCTCTCGCCTAAGCGCGGCATACATTCGATTTGAGGGCGGGTGGTTTTCAAAATATGGATCTCGCCTTAGCGCGGCGCATATTTGTTTTAACAAATTTCCAATAGCTTCACGGATTGAGGGTAGCTTCTTTTCAAAATGTGGCTCTCGCCTTGGCGCGGCGCACACTCGATTTTAGAATTTCCAAGAGCTTCACGGATTGAGGGCCGGTGGTTTTTCAAATGTGGCTCTCGCCTTAGCGCGGCGCACATACGATTTTAAAATTTGCAAGGGTCTCATTTATTGGGGGCCGGTGGTTTTCAAAATGTGGCTCTCGCCTTAGCGCGGTGCACATTCGTTTTGAACACTTCCAAGAGCTTCACGGATTGAGGGCCCGTAGTTTTCAAAATGTGGCTGTCGCCTTAGCGCGGCGCACCTTCGTTTAAAAAAATCCAACAGCTTCACGGATTGAGGGCGGGTGGTTTTCAAGATGTGGCTCCCACCTTAGCGCGGCGCGCATTCGTCTTGAACATTCCCAAGAGCTTCACGGATTGAGGGCTGGTGGTTTTCAAAATGTGGCTCTTTCGCCTCGTTTTAGCGCGGCGCAATTCGATTTTAAAATTGAAGAGCTCCCTTATGAGGGCGCGAAAGGGTCGGTTTCAAAATTGTGGTCTCGCCTTAAAGCGAAGCACATACGATTTTTTAAAATTATGCCAGGGTCTCATTATTGGGCCGGTGGTTTCAAATGTGGCTCTCGCCTTAAGCGCGGCGCACATTCGTGAAAAAATCCAAACAGTTCACGATGAAGGCGGGTTGGTTTTCAAATGTGGCTCTCGCCTTAGCGCGGTGCACATTCGTTTTGAACACTTCCAAGAGCTTCACGGATTGAGGGCCCGTAGTTTTCAAAATGTGGCTGTCGCCTTAGCGCGGCGCACCTTCGTTTAAAAAAATCCAACAGCTTCACGGATTGAGGGCGGGTGGTTTTCAAGATGTGGCTCCCACCTTAGCGCGGCGCGCATTCGTCTTGAACATTCCCAAGAGCTTCACGGATTGAGGGCTGGTGGTTTTCAAAATGTGGCTCTCGCCTTAGCGCGGCGCACATTCGATTTTAAAATTTGCAAGAGTCTCACTTATTGAGGGCGCCTGGTTTTCAAAATGTGGCTCTCGCCTTAACGCGGCGCACATACGATTTTAAAATTTGCAAGGGTCTCATTTATTGGGGGCCGGTGGTTTTCAAAATGTGGCTCTCGCCTTAGCGCGGCGCACATTCGTTAAAAAATCAAACAGTTTCACGGATTGAAGGCGGGTGGTTTTCAAATGTAGCTCTCGTCTTAGCGCGGTGCACATTCGTTTTGAACACTTCCAAGAGCTTCACGGATTGAGGGCCCGTAGTTTTCAAAATGTGGCTCTCGCCTTAGCGCGGCGCACCTTCGTTTAAAAAATCCAACAGCTTCACGGATTGAGGGCGGGTGGTTTTCAAAATGTGGCTCTCGCCTTGGCGCGGCGCGCATTCGTTTTGAACATTTCCAAGAGCTTCACGGATTGAGGGCTGGTGGTTTTCAAAATGTGGCTCTCGCCTTAGCGCGGCGCACATTCGATTTTAAAATTTGCAAGAGTCTCACTTATTGAGGGCGCCTGGTTTTCAAAATGTGGCTCTCGCCATGGCACGGCGCATACTCGTTTCAAAAAATTGCAAGAACTTCACGGACTGAGGGCGGCTCCTTTTAAAAATGTGGCTCTCGCCTTGGCGCGGCGCACATTCGTTTTAAACAATCAATAATTGCACGGATTCCCATCATCAACGTGCCAGAACTGGTGTTATGAAAGGGTTCAAGACTATGCGGGCGCAACATTTACATTGATTCGCTGTGTTGAAGTCCCAGGAACGGCGTTCTGGCACGATTCAGAATTGTCGAACACACAACAGTCAAGCTGATCCGTGGCCTTGGAATCCCGAGAACAGTTTGGGCATGCTTCAGGGTCTTTTAACGGCTGTTTTCCAGA